AACAACAAAAAGACAACCCAATATAGAAACTGGCAAAGAACTATTTCTCTAAAGAAGATATACAAATGGCCAACAAGCACAAGATGTCCAACAATTTTAATCATTAATCAAATGCAAATCAAAACCACAATGCAATACCACTTCATACCCACTAGGATGGCTATAGTTTTTAAAAAGGAGATTATAGTAAGTACTACCAAGGATGCAGAGAAAATGGCATGCTCACACATTGCTGTTGGGAATGGAAAAGGATTCAGCTGCTTTGGAAACAGCATGACAATTCCTCCAAAAGTTAAACCCAGAACTATTACATGATCCAGCAATTCCACTTAGGTATAGACCCCCAAAGAATGGAAAACAGATAATCGAATATTTGTACATGAATTCTCATAGCAGTACTATTCCCAATAGCCAAAAGGTAGACATAGCCCAAAGGTACATCAATGGATGAATGGATAAACAAGTTGTGGTATATACATACAGTGGACTCTTATTCAACTGTTAAAAAGAAATGAAGTACTGATACATGTTATGATATGGATGAATCTGGAAAATACTATGCTAAGTAAAAGAAGCCAGACATGAAAGATAACACATTACATGATTCCATGTGTATGAAATATCCAGAATAGGTAAAAATATAGACACAAAAAGCAGACTAGTGGCTCCCAGAGGCAGAGAGAGGAGCAAATAGAGTAATTACTTAAGAGATCCTGGGTTTTATCTTGGAGTAATGAAAATGTTTTGGAACTAGACAGAGGTTGTGGTTGCACAACATTGCAAATGTACTAAATGCCAGTGAATTCTTCATTTCAACATGGTTACTTTTACGTGGTATGAACGTCACCTGAGTGAAACAATAACTGGGAAACAAACAAAAAAAAACCCAAAAAAGCTAAAATCAGACATTAAAACCATTTATCCAGAGGTAAAGCTGTCCTGCAATATTATTTTTTGCCTACATGGTGTTTAAATAGTTATCAGTATTTTTAAAGGTAGGTGATTTCTCAAAATATCTGGGTTTCTGCCCTTTCTTAAAGGCAAAATTTCCATATAATAAAAAAAAAAATTTGGCTATTGTTAAGAAGTAGTTGCTTTCTTGAGACGGCATATATTAACTTTCCAGCTTACCAGTCTCTTCTACCTTCTATGGTCTTCCTGACACGAAGGCCAAATTGTCAGTTTTATCATGCTTGTTTCAAAGAGAAATTAAGAATAGGGGCGCCTGGGTGGCTCAGTGGGTTAAAGCCTCTGCCTTCGGCTCAGGTCATGATCCCAGGGTCCTGGGATCAAGTTCCGCATCGGGCTCCCTACTCAGCAGGGAGCCTGCTTCCTCCTCTCTCTCTGCCTGCCTCTCTGCCTACTTGTGATCTCTGTCTGTCAAATAAATAAATAAAATCTTTAAAAAAAAAAGGTTTAAAAAAAATAATAAAAGTAGGATATCTCTTGTACTCATGCTCCATTGAAAACGGAATAAAAAGTCCACGTGTTTACTTCCAGCGTGCTTTAGTTATTTATATTTACTGCTTTGCACCCATGACTATTTGAATTTAGAAATCCTGTTCTTTTCGGTATGATAAAGATAGAAATCAAACACTCTTAACGGGATTAGAAAAACTAAGTTAACCAGTTATACCCTGAATGCCAAATTCATCTTCTGAAACTTGGCTGCAGGAATAATCAAAGTTAGCCACCTGCAAATAAATAAATGTCCAAGGGGCATTACGTGACTACCTTCCACTCAGGTCCTGATCCCAGGGTCCTGGGATCGAGCCCCATACCAGGCTCCCTGCTCAGTGGGGAGCCTGCTTCTTCCTCTCCTATTCCCCCTGATTGTGTTCCCTCTCTTGCTGTGTCTCTGTCAAATAAATAAATAAAATCTTGAAAAAAAAAAATAAAAAGAATAAACGTCCAAATAGTTTCATCAATCAAGGTTAAATAAATTTGGATGGAAGGTAAAGCAAGATCCATCCCTGGTCACTTGGTCTCCCTTCCCTGCTAGAACACCAGTGTTGACATGAAAGGTGAAGAGTCAGCAGCTCATGTTTCCTAAGAGGGAAGACTGGGATTTGAGGATAATACATCGGATAATATTCTCATCTTGGAAGCACTCCTTTTTTAGAGGGTCTAGTATAAGTTCCTATGCAAGATATATATAGAAGTAGGGAAATGGGTGGCAATCTGGCAGTTTCTCCCAACAAACCCAAGACTTTTTTTCAGTAGCTTACCTTGGGGACGTACAAAGAGGTCTTTGGTGCAGGGGAAGTGTGCAGTGGATAAAATACAAACATAGTTCCTGGGAACTAACTACATCAGTCTAATAGACTTTAAATGCTTTAGTTCCGTGCATCAATAACAGGTGTTTAGCCCCATTTCACAGAGTGTTGGACAGACAGGGACATAAAAGGCAGTGGTATTGGGGATGTAAGTTTGCCTGGCTCCATGTTTCTGCCAAAAACGTTTCTAGCCTCAAAGCTCTTTAAACTCTAGCACTCATTTTCTCAGAGCCACCATGTGATGTGGCCTCTAATAAGGATAAGACAGGGGAGCTCTTCTCTGGGGTGGATAAGGAGTTGGTAATGCCTGATGGGGGAAGGAGACGTGAGACACTGTTGTTATTACTGACACTGCCTTCTTCCTTTTCTGTGCCAAGGTGGGAGGCCTTTGAAACCACACAACTTGCCATGCTTCCTTCCCTGGAGGCACAGCCTCCATCCGTACCCGTCCTAAATGCACTGCACACTGAGTCTGTGAGGGTTTAGCCTTGATTTAACCACCCGTGTATTCAGGCATCACATTCAGCATAGCAGCTGGCTCCTAATCAATACATTTCTATTAAATGCATGTTATCACCCTAAAGGAAACAGAAAGGAACCCATGTAACCTGGTCACACAGAGAAGGCTGGACACTGATAACTCTATGAACAGACTGCGAGTAATACTTCTGTGGCTACAATATTTATATTGCTTCACTCTTAGCCAATCTATGAGATCTCCTAATCGCTATAAATGTGATACTGGAAATGAGACACAGAAAAGAAGGACAGCAGAAAGCTCTCAAGTCAGAGGATTCTGAGAATGGAGTCTGGTCTAAAGCGTACCCCTGCTGACGGAGCTTAGTAACCTGCAAGGCCATCAGGCCAGGAGGTCTGCTAAACCAACACAGCAATGACCGGATTCCTCCATTAGATCAACAAGAAGAGAGACCATGCAATTTACTGCTAGGAAAGAAATTCTTTTTAAAATTTTTGAGAATTCCTGGGTACCTTTTTATGGTATTATAATTAAAATTAAAAGCTCTATGAACACGTAAGGCCAGAACCTACAAAAAATATTCAAGATCCAATGTGGAAAAAAAGCAAGTTACAAAATATATATTGTTTAATTTTGGTTTTTGCTTTAAAAATGTTAGTAGGTGCACAGAAAATAAGTGAAGGAATCTAATCTGAACTGTTTCTACTGTTTATATGTGTCAGGGGTTGGAATTATGGGGGAAGTTTACGCTTTCCACAGATTATGAGGTGGATGCATTTTGTACATTATATCTTTCCATAATGTTTGAGTTTTCTTTCATTAGGAGTATGTATTATCTTAGATGTAATCAGGAAAATGAGAAATGTAAAAATAAAATGAAACTGAAAAAAATATGTCTCCTAAAAGTATCTTTACCAAAAAAGAGGTCAGAGGAAAATGTGATTTGGTAATCTAAAAGAGAGTTTTGCAACCGCATTCTTTGGAACTCTAAGGCTCTTCACCAGCTCTCTGAGAGCCAGCAAGGACACGAGGAAGCTGATCTCCAAACACACCCCTACCCAAACTACCCAGCTTGAGCATTTCACTTTCATATTTTAATAATGAAGTTCTGCTGACACTAAGTTTGAAAATTTAGGATGTAAAACATACGTAACTAATTTATTTCTGAATGTTCCTCAAAGCACTTTCTGGGGTTTGAGTAGGCTCCCTGGGAAAAGATATCTGTTTTCCCTTGTGTTTTCTGAGCATGAGGTTTTAGTACCAGCTTTTTAGTGCAAGGTCTGCTGCATTTATGAGCTGTCTGGGTAGAAAGCCGGGTGCTCTATGCATAAGGATCCTCTGTTCAAGAAGGCCAAGGCAGCAGGAAGCCTCTAATTCCCACCATCTGGTCAGCCTCTCTGAATCATGGTCAGCCATCCAGAAGCAGAAGATTCAGGATCACCAGAGACTATTTTCAGAAGAATGAGAACTCAAGCCTGAGCAATTAGAAATAGGTCAATGACTTTTTAAAGCAACTTTCTTGAAAGAGGATGCTTTTCTTTGCAAAATTCGTTCTCGCCACTGGTCTTTCTTTAAATAGAATATGGTGACTGCCTATAAATCCTTTTTCTTGTTTTTAGAAGTCTTCCATCACAGAACCCTTAAGTATTTTTGGAGGTTACTTGTATTTCCATAGCCTTGTGTTTTTGAGAGAAAATCTGACTTTAGAAATATACATGAGAGACTTCAATATTTGAGCTAAAATGGCTGTATTCTCTAGAGTTAAAAAAATGCTTTTTAGAAATTTTAATTTTTTCATTTGCTTCTTCATTTTCTGTAATAACCAGGGGAAATCTGTCAAATGGAATCCCTTTCCCTGTCTTGTTTACTCTTCCTGACTTTCACAGTCATATCCTCATCTGGATTCTTATTGGGTCAAAACTAATATGCCATTTTCTGTGTATTATACCTCTGTGGCTTCCCGAGAGCAGCAGAAACCCATCTGTGAATATCTGCTCAGAACCAGCAGGGGGCGCTCACTCCCACAGGAATCTGAATCCATCTGTAAGGGGATGGTGGGAAAAGCAACCTAACTTTCTTCAGTAAGACTGGCCCTTTCGCACTGCGGATAAATGATCACATGATGAGCAACAGGTTACCGACAAAGGTGCTGAGATAAAGCATTCTTGAGAGAATGTATTTAGAGACAGCCAAGCCTCAAAGGCAAGGCTACTCCTGCCCGAAGCAGATGCATACTCTGCCTGTACCTGTTTTTCAAGGCTTGGCTTGCTAAGCTGTACAGTCTGAGGTCCAGCGAGTCTGGTCCCTGGAGTAGCTATCACAATGCTGGTGAGCTGGGCCATGGGGAACGTTTTGGCTATGGTTGCAGTCTGCCCATTGACGACACGGACGGGGTGGATGGAATTCTGGGAGGTAGGGAGGGTCGTGGGGGTGAACTTGGTCAGCATGACGGGCCTCTGGATAAGTTGAGGAGCTGCAAGCATGGGAGGAGGTGCTGGGGCAATAGGAATGTTATTCTGGGCCACAGGCTTGGGTCGAACCTATGGGGAAAGAGAGGATAATATTACTTAAAGAAATTTCTCAAGTCTTGTAAGTTTAAGACATTGCCAGGTCTTTCACACTTTATATGTGAAATGGTATTTAGTGCCAATATTTATTAATATTCATGCTGGTGGTATATTAATCCTACAGATATCAGGATATATAATCTTACAACAGACTCATCAGCTCTTAAGAGGGTCCAAATGTTACCCTACCATGTGGTTTTTTCTGAATCCAGACCTTAGCTCCCTCTCCCATACCATGCTGGCTCTTCAGGCTGAGGTCAAATGCTTAATCCAGAGACTGGTCACACTCAGGATTTGTGCCCAATGTGGTAACAATGCTGCCGCTGGTCTTATTCCACATTCTGAATTTCTTCATGTTTGTGGCTTCAATTCAGTGTGATTCCTCGCTCTCTAACTCCCTGTTCTGGGCTGCTCCTCTAAGTCACCCTTGTGGGCTTCCTCTTCCTCTGCCCAATCCTAAATGTATTTCTGAGAGTTTTGTCTTGGAACCTCTTTTCTTCCCAATCTCCTCACTCTTCCTGCGAATTCTCACCCATCCCATGGATTCAATTGCCAACTATTGTCCTGAAGACATCCATACTTGGTATCTCGGGAACAGACATTTCCTGAACTTCAGAATCACATACTCAACTGCCTGTCCTATATCTTTACTTGGAAGTCTTCCAAGAAATTAAAAATCAACATGTCTAGGGGCTCCAGGCAGGCTCAGTCAGTGGAATGTGCAACTCCTGATCTTGGGGTTGTGAGTTTGAGCCCCATATGTTGGGTGTAGAGATTGCTTAGAAATAAAATCTTTAAAAACAATGACAACAAAAAATCATTATGTCTCAAACTCACCTATTTCTTCCTCTGACCCTCTCCTTCCTCCTATTATCATCCCCTCAATAAATAAATAAACTTCAGAACCATTCTTGATGCTTTCTACTCCACCTCTACTTCCTAAATCCCTCTCAAATATGGCTACTTTCTATGCTCATCCTGCCATCACTCTACCTTATGTTTAGCTTACTGGAACAATGACAAAGAATTATGATTAAAAACACGGGGTTAGCCTTGCTTGGGTTCAAATCCTGGTTCCTACCTCTTACTAGCTGGCTAACCTCAGGTAACATAACCTGATTTAAGCCAGCATTTTTCAAACTTTCTGTACAGTGACCCTGTGGGCAAAATCTTTTCCCCTTATGCATGAAACTTTGACCTGCAGTTAACTCTCCAGCTCTGTTCCCCTGGAAACCTGATTAAGGGTAAGAATGTCAACTATGTTACCAGGCAACATTGCTTATGGTAAAAATGATCCCTTACTGCTAAACTGAATCTGAACGGGGAGAATTAGAAATACTTGATGGGACACCATGCTTTGGGCTTCATGAAGTGGGGTTACTTTTGTAACTGAGCGTGTCCCCATGTGTGGGGACCTTGAAAGCCATGGCTATGGAATTGTTATAAGATACACTGGCTCCCGCATGGCATAAGCCTTCTATGCCAGGATGGCTCTCCTACCGTCTAGATCAAGATCTCATCTCCCTGCACCTGAGCTATCACTGGACAGCTGCAGAGACTGCCAATCAGGCTGACAAAAAATGTCTGATGCTGTCTTGCTGGTAAGCTGTGGTTTCTGTCTTGTATTGTTCCAAGTAGACTGGTACCATGTGTGGGCCGGTCTCACAAATCTGAATATTTAGCTGACCTTAAGATGACCATGTGTTGGCTGCTGCAGACACACAGTAGGGAATACATTTCTTTTTTTTTTTTTTTTAAGGGAATACATTTCTTACTGTAACCAGTACTTGCATATAGACATAGACCTCTATCTCTATAAAACAAAAACTTGATGAGACATTACATATGTGCTATGTACTCTTAATGTTTCATATTCTGTTTTGTTCATTTTATTTAAGAACCCTGGTCACGATCCATTAGATTGATTTCACATAGGCTACTAATGGGTCATGACCCTCTGTCTGGAAAACATGGACTAAGCCCTAGGTTCCCTACCTAAAAAAAAATACCTACTTCCACAGGGCTGTTGTGGGGATTAAAACAGATAACCCACAGAAAGTGCCTCACACAGTAAACAGTACACAGCAGCAGTCTTTTAACATTTTAACATCTTTTTAACATTTGCTATTACTGTTGATGTCCTAACTATTCTTCTTGCCCACAATCTCGATCATCTCCAATCTATTTTCCACACAATGACAAGAGGGAATTTAAAAATAAATAAATAAATAAATAAATAAAATAAAGAAAAAAAACTCATCATTTCAGGTATTTGTTTGAAGTGTTTTCATAGATCCCCGTTGTTTCTGGGATAAGGCCCAAATTCCTACATAGTCTAGAAGGCTCCATAAGCTCTGGCACAATGGGCTTCTCCAGCCTCACCTCTTCCCCTAGCCTGAGTCAGCTACATGGCCCACCATGGTCAGCTATACCAAATTGCCTTTTGGTTCCTTAGGCTTACATATATCTTTCCATACTGGATTTGCATATATGCTCTACCCTCTGCCTGGGACACTTTTATTCTTCCTCCAAAACTCTGTCAGGCTAACTTTACTAGGACTTTAGGGCTCAGACTGAATGTCAACTCTTCTAGGAAACTTTCTAGAATACTCTTAAGAATGAGATGGGGGTTCCCCCCATGTGTGGTCAGACTACCTTGTACTTCCCATAATGGACACTGTGATTGCCTATACATAGATCTGAAGCTCTCTGAGGGCAGAGAATGGTCTATCTTAAAAATTGGCTTTTCTGATACCCAAGGATCTACTGGATAAATGACTGAAATCACTTTATCTTGTGTTCTCAATGCCCAAACCTACTGCACAGGCAATCTGGAAGTCACCTACGTCCACTGACCACAAAATTCCTTTCTCTTCTCTCTTTGCCTGCAACATGGGCCTCAGATGGGAACTCCTAGGCTTTCTACTTGGCAAGTCAAGTCCCCTCAAAACCCAGACTGGGGCAATCCTGACATCCTGCCATGAGAATGAGTTCAGTCCAATTGCTAAAAGAATTCTCCCAGGGCAATATGCACAAGCAGAGCTGCCTGGGTCTAAGTAGAAAGCTTCCTGTGTAGACCCCTAGTCCAAGCTTCTATAGGCAAAGCTTTGTGTCTAAAAATGATACTAAATGCCATTACTTTCCAGAGCAAAACTAAATTTCTCTGGTTTCTACTGGTTAGTTTGCCTATTGTTTCCTTGTCTACTCTCTTTGGCTAATGGCGGGGGGTGGGGAGTAGTGATGGCATTCCTTCCCCACTGGCAGGCAGGTTTGGCTAAACTTCCAGTAAGTTAACATCATAAGGTTTAAAATGGTGCCTTAAATTCTCCTTTTCTTCACATCCCCCTGCTACTGCCTTTGGTCACTGCTAAGAAACCCCAGTGATCAAATAAGCTTCTTCCCAGTATAGAAATCATCATCTAGAACCTTTAGCTAACTAAGTAAGATCTGAACAAAGCTGAGTTGATACGCACACTTCAGGTGGCTCAGAGAGGGCCCTTGAGGACTTCTGTCTCACCTAACCCATCACTGGGCTTGTCACTGCTTTACTCACCTGTGGAAGAAAGTTTGGACGTGGAGTGAGTCGAGGAGGGGGTATAAACTGTGGTACTTTGATGGGCTGAGGAGGTGTTGCCTGAACCTGCTAAAAAACGGGAAAAATAAATAAACCACAGAGAACAACAATTGTTCAGTATCAAAGCTAGGCGTTCTTAAAGTATTTTTAGCATCACTACTCCCTGTATCAGACAATATTTTCTAAAAATTTTCACTGTAGAATTAACCATCTGAATTAAGACTTCGTGAAGAAAACTTTTTACTCTCCCACCTGCACATTTTACCCTACAGAAGTGAACCAACTGCATTTCTGTGTCCTTACATGCCTGAAGTAAAACACAGCAGGCTTGGCAATCTTAGACAATTTCCTCTGACATTCAAGAACTCTTGCACGTACATATTTTAAAAGTCAAGACTGGATCCAAAGTAAAATCAAACTTACTGCTTGGCCAAATGGGCTTTTTCCTAATATAAGAGCTTTATCTAGCATTGAATGGCTTTATTCCTGTAGAGAAGTCTCTAATTCTCAGCATTTGGCTGAGATAACTGGTCACTTCTCTCAAGATTCCCAGTAAATGCTGAAGCTTCACTTTACTGCTATCTAGTTTACTTATCACTGGTCATCATCCAAAAGCCACCAAGAGCTCTTAGCTGCAATTTTAAGAATAGACTTTAAAACCACAATTTGGTTATATTTTCCCCAAGCTTCAGAGAGCATCAATTTCTAAATGATTTCACCCTAGAATCTCATGAACAGTTTTTGTTCAAGTAATTCTTCAAGGGATGTTTTTTTTCCCCTTTAGACCTTGGACATGGACACTGTTAATTTGTGAGTTTCTTGAATATTTTTAAGTGCCTCAGCTTGTTCTAGTACTTCCTAGGTGCAGCCAATTTCAAGGGATAGTGAACTAAAGGAGTTCAGCGGGAAGTTTTCCCCAAATCGGTAATACAGAACCAGAGAGTCTATAAGCACTCAAGTTTTACAGGCAGGTCTGCAAACAGGATGGAGAGAGCTACGTGCAACAGTGTGCATGCCCCTATGAAGGACACGCCTCCCTAAGTCAAGTCAGACTTCAACTGCAGATAACGCACTGTATGGATCTGGGTCCTCGTGTCAAGGGACACTTGTACAGTTATTTGAGCAGACAGTAGGAATGCCATATTCCCTTGTCAGCCCCAAAGGAAAACTTGGTATGCCTGAATGATGGAGACTAAAAAATCCAGCAGGAGCATAAAATGGATATACTCTACAAATGCATATCCTGAACCCTCTCATGTGGCCACACATGAGTAGCAGCTGCTGGCTTACCAGAGTGACTGTGTTTTTTGCCACAATTTGGACAGCCTCTGCCCCAGGCCCAGTGACCTTACTAGACGTCTGGAGGTTGACTGGTGTGTTCTGCACATCAGTGCTGAGCACAGCCTTCTGACTGTTGATGGCGGTCACCATAGCAATGGTAGGTCTCTGGCCCACAACAGAGGCAGGCATGGTCGCAGTTGCTGCTTTCAAGACGAGAGGTAGTGTCTTTGTGGTAATCATAGAAGCTGTAGTTACAGTCTTCTAGGAGACATGGAGAACAGATATTAGGACACTGAAGTGTGACCCCACTAAACAATATGCTGCTAATCCCCAGAAGAAAACAAAGCAATGATTCTTATAATCAAGTTTCTCAATATAACAGTATTTCTTTTGTTTACATACAGCACACTTCTTACTGTAGAGAAAGATAATCTCTAGTTTGTGCCAGAGTTTTCAAACTTAGCTTTAAGTTCATAGTCATAACTGCAGATAGATATGGGCACAGGATTTTCAACAATGAATGGGGTGGGTTTACAGGTATAAAATGTAAGTGTACCTATTTACCTATTTCTTTTTTTTATTCTTTGCTTGTTCTCAATTTAAACTCTGCAGAGGTTGCAAATCAATGGGGTACACAACATCTCTATTTTTAATTGCTACAACCTCATCGATATGAAGCCATCATATAATTCTGGTTATCTGCCTCCTGTGACACAAAAGCTGGGATGAAAGGACAGTGTCTTTTCATTCTTTTGCATGGCCCTAGAGAGGAGGAAGGGAAGCTCACATGAGGGTTACCACAATGGTTTTCTCAGAGGCAGTAAATCCCAAACTCTAGATAATAAAACCTATTAACCACCTAGTATAGTAAATACCAGCTCTTGATACCAAAGGGCTGAGAGTCACTAACTATAATCTTCTCTCTGGAGAGCTGCTGCAGAAGCAATCAGAGATCTGGTGAAACATGACAAAGTGGAAACAAACACCTGTGTTTCAAAAAGCCTTACAGATCAGGGGTGCCTGGGGTGGCTCAGCTGGTTAAACATCTGACTCTTGGTTTTGGCTCGGGTCATGATCTAGGAGTCATATGTTGAGCCCCGTGTCAGGCTTGGCACGGGATGTGGAGCCTGCTTGAGATTCTCTCTCTCCCTCTCCCCCTGGCCCTTCGCCACTGCTTAGGAAAATAAAAATAAAAATAAAAATAAAAAAGCCTTATGGTTGAGAGGACGAACAGAGGTAACAGGACTTGCTCTTCCACTAGTGTTGAAGCTCTGCAGCTGTAGTTTCTAGACTTCTTACTGGAGTAGGTAAAGGGAACAGTTACAAAACAAGAAAATGCAAACAACCTTATTACACGGCACACGCACCTATCCAGTGCCGTTACTCACTCAAGATCCTCGAGACTCAACCGTTTCAGGAACACGGAAGTGCAACCAGAACAGGCTGGTTCTGAATTTGGTACTACTCCACCTTCTTCTTCTTACTCTATACTGGCACTGTCCAGTTTGGTAGCTCCCAGCCACACGTGGCCATTTCAATCCAAATTAATTAAAACAAAGTAAAATTAAAACATCAGTTCCTCAGCCACACTGTCCACATTGCAAGTGCTCAAAAGCCACTTGTGGCTAGTGGCTACCAAACCAGACAGCAATTTCCAACACTGCAGGAAGTTCTACTGGACAGCACTGATCTAGACCAGTGAAAAGGAGCACACTCTCCCTGAAACAGATCTGGACAAATCCCCTCGTGCATTTCTAGTTCAGTGACTATGTCAGTACTTGTGTACTAAGTTGGGGTTTTTTTTGGGGGGGGGATAATTCTTTACTTCCATCTTCTGCCTGAAATACACACATACATCATCTAATCTTTTAGTATCTTTGCTTCCTTTCAATGAAAACAATTAGCAATCTGGCCTCATCCATCCCACTGCAGCCTACAAGCAATCTTTATTAATGCTTATAACGAAAATCACCCAAATCTTTGTTTCCTCTTCTCTAATCAACAAAACAGGCATGTCTCATTCTCCTTGCCAGTGCCTCCTCAAATGTGAAATGGGAGTAAAAGGAGACCACTGGTATTTATTTGGGGGGCAGGGTGGGGGTTCATCTACTATTAATGCAAGATGAAAACCAAATAAAAGCTAAATGCTGTTTATCATTAGAAATGTTACATTAGTGTAGGAGAAAGGACCGACTTTATATTGCCAGTTATTTGTAGTAAGTGTTTTTAACCCAGTGTGACATTAGCCCTATCTTTCAGTTTAAGACATTGAAATACAAAGACCTTTTCAAATGGTGAGCAAGTCACACCAGATGGCATTCAATCTTGGTGCCAACACAGGTTATGGAAGCAAAATCTCTCATCAGCAGAAGTCACTGACATGGATTTTAAAAAACAGTTGTGCATGCTGTTACTGCTTTGAAAGAGGTCATGTACTTTTGTTTGAAACATTGTTGGTTCAGGTAAATTACTATCAATATTTTGAATCACCCTAAAGCGATTATTCTAAAAAAAGTCAGTGAAACCTCCAACTCACCTGAATTACATACTTACCATTAACCGCAACACTTAAAAAAAACTTTAAAACCTAACAAGTTTGTTGACATCTTAGGTTAGCATCTTATTCCCCTTTATAAATATTTAGTTACGGCTAATTTCACAACATGTACTCCAGCATCTATATAATTCTCTGTATGTAAAGGTGTAGTACTGTCTACTACTATATTCACTGATGAAAACTTTTTGGAAAATACATCAGCTAACCACTTATTCACACCAGGCATCAACAGAGGTATTGCTAAAATCCTTCCCTCTGGTCTGGTGCTTATCCTAAGTGCTTGGGGATATAAAACAAACTCTTGGGGGTGTTAGAGTTTAGATGACAAAAAGAATCTACAATTTTGAAATCCAAACCTAACACCAACCTCTGACTTGTTTGGCAGGGAGGAGAGAAGACACGGGAGAGGAAAGGTAACCAACAACAAAGAAAATGATGTTTTTGGAAGCCATGAGTAGTCCCTGGCTGCTTGATGCTGCCCAGTTGTGACCGGCTTCCAGATAAGTGAGCAGTTTCCCCACAGCGTCATGAAGAGGTTCTTTAATTTTGACAAAATCTAAACTGCACCAACGAGAAGTTAATGCAGAAATACATGGCATAAAGCACTAAAAATCCTTTTATTTATTTATTTTTTTTGGCCAAGTTATTGTAGTTTACCGGCAAAGCATGTGGTGTTGATTTAAAACAGACTGCAATGAACAAATTGGAACGACCAGGGGTTATTACTACGGGCGCTAGTGAACTTCCATCCCCAGTTTAGGCTATTTTCATTTAATTCTGAATGGCAAGTAACTGTTGCACACTCACATGACTACAAATAGAACCAACCCACTCCTCTTTTGGTCCATTAGGATTTATTTTCTATTTGGTTTCATTAACTGTTGCTTCATTACATTTGTATTCCATCATTAAAAAGGACACAAGTGTGAATGTGAGTTGAAGGGTATACCTGCATTCAACTCTACTAGTGTTTCGTTTTTTTTCTGTGAATGGAAAAAATTTCAAAATCTACCTACAGGGATGAATTTGAGTTAACTAAGTAAAGGGGACCGGTCCCCCCACCCCCTATGCCTTGGTCCCTGCTAGCCACCTGACTCAGAATAGAAAACATTCCCTGCCAAGCACCTCCTGTTTGCCCGTGCTGACTGCTGCTTAATACTCCTTTCCAAACTTAGATATTTAACATATGCCATATACAACTTCTCAGTTGTCCTTGACCTCATGGACCTTTAAGGACTCCCTTTGCCCAAAACTAACAGTTCTGCCATGCACTGGAGGGCTTCTCCAAGCTAGCTTCTTTCTACCTCTCTGGCTTTATCTCCCCTCTCCATTATTGCCCAGAATCCACACCTGAGCCACATCAGTCTCTGCTATTCCTGGGACACACATTTACTTTTGGTCACATAGTTGTCTACATCTGTGATGCTCCTCCCCTCTGCTCTATCGCTAAAATCTCACTGATCTGTCCACATCCTGCTCAAGTGTCACCTCATCCGTGAAGCACCTCTGATCTCTCTAGTTAAAATTTACTCTTCACTAGTACTTTCATTCTATTCTCTTTGTTGGCTGTTTACACTGTCTTCTTTTCTAAATTTTTAATATTCTTGTTTTTGAATCCACCTTCTTCATTGCCGAGCACAGTGTCTGCATATAATAGAGACCCAATAAAAATTTACAGGTTGAATGAAAATGATGATAATATACCAGATTCTAGGCAGGGACCATGACCACCTCTTTGTATACCAGAACCTAGCACATGGAAAACACCTGATAAATACTGATTGGCAGTTTATTGTAAAGACAGAAACCAAAAACTTAGAGGGTCTTTTGGCTTTTAAAATCATACATCTGCATTTAACAAAATAGAATAGAACAGGACAACTTAGCTAAATCAATTAAATATATGGTAGGTGAGCTACCAGGTGGACAGCTGCCACACAACACTGTTTTGGGGCTAGCCCTTCGCCCCTTACTATCACTCACCATCCCACAGCAGCACAGAACTCAGACTACTAGGAGGGAAGAGCTATTATAAGTATTACATAATATTTCCTCTGATTCGTGGGACACCGAATGTTACTTGAACAGAAAGTTTCCATGGGTTAAGAGAGAAAACTCCTACATACCAGGAAACAATGAATTCTACCACACTCTTTCCCTGTAGACACTTTCTGATGAAACTGTACTTTGCAAAGAGAACAAACTAATCAATTCCAATAAAAGTAATCTGATAAGCAATCCTCCAGAAGAAATAGAAGTCCTGGTCGGGGGGTTTTAAAAGTCAGTTTGAATGCTTCATTTTCAAAGAGCCCTGGAGTGGAGATTATGGTAAAATTTATGCTCCAGCTATCTGATTTACAACAGGAATTACTCTTTTTCCTACACTGGCAGCGTTTTCTATAATGTTGGCATTTCATTTTTTGGTACTATACAGTAGTACAGAAGAGCCATGAATGGACAGACGTTTTCACCAGAATATCTGGGTTCACATCTTGGCTCTACCACACATACTATCTATATGATTTTAGATAATTACTTCATCTCTCTGTGTCTTGGTTTTCTTTTCTAAACAATAACAACAACAAGAACAATAATAATACCTTCCTTATTAGGGTTGTGGTAAGGACGGTGTATATTACATATGTAAAGCACTCAGGAGAGTAGCAGTTTACAGTAACCTCGATTAAATGTCAACTATCTTTACTAATCTTTAATATTTTTTACAAGTAATGTATTCCTCACTTGAAAAGTGTTCTATGTGAACCAGCCCAATGTCCATAAACAGTGATTAATCAAGCAAACTATAATCTTTTTCTCTATGTATACAGTGAAGACCTGGGACTGGTGCATAAAGGATGCCCGTGCTTGCATTTCAGAAGATCCCAACATCTTTGAAATCATGTGCAAAAATGAGTGTTATTAGGTGTGAATGTGTACTGTTCTGGAGAGAGGATCCACAGCTTTCACCAAAGTCTTAAAGGGGTCATGATCCCTAAGAATCAAGAACCACTGCTCAACCATCCCATCTTAAAAGGTATGCCCACGTTACAGGCAGGTGTGTGGAGATCAAGCCTGAACAGTTTGCATGTGTGTGTGTGTGTGTGTGTGTGTGTGTGTGTGTGTGGTGTGTGTGTGTGTTCCAGTAACACTTTATTTATGGATGTTGAAAATGGACTTTCATATAATTTTCATACAAAATAATACAAATACTATGAAATACCTTTAACCATTAAAAATGTCAAAAACATTTGCTTCGAATAGTTTTCCTAACTGAACATTATTCCCAAATATGTCCTTTTTGTGTATTTTGCCTTACTGTCCTTATATGCTAGTTTAAATGCCCCCTTCAGCAAAAACATCTGCACAACTATACCAAGTTAGAATGTTATCAAGCCTCCAGTTCTTAGTTCTAGTTTGGACCTGTAGCTTCCATTTCAGATTTCCTTCAATATATTAGAACAAATTCATATGCTCTGAATAATGGAAACACATCACCCTTCTTCTGAATGCCTTTCTACCTGGTTCACCTCCACACCTAACTGCTAAGAATTCCAGCAAAACGATTTCAATGGAGGCAGAGTCACACGGACTTTTAGAACAGGTGCAAAGAAATACTTCCAGAAAATGCAAAATAAGACCTTAGTTCTGTTCTAACACAGAGAAGTGATTTTTCTTTGTCACTGACTACCTTTCCCCTCTTCTTTGGACAGGTGGGAAATCATTTGACTTTTACTCCTCAGTAATACCGTTTCCTTCTGCCAGGGAATTTCAAGGGATTTTTTACCCCAGTGTATAGTATAAAAAAGTAACCACAATAACTGTTGTCTAGGGCTAGCTGAGCTTAGTACTGAAAGGGGTCCCAGCTCTACATGCCTCATAACAGCCTAGCGCAGGAAGCCTGCAGGGCTTCCGCCACACTTTTACCTGGGAAGCGGTCAGGCTGGGAGAGGGTGCAGCCGACTGGGCGTGGTGGTGGTGGTACTGCGGCGGCTGCTGGAGCTGCTGGAGGGGTTGCTGCTGTGCTGTTTGTAGTTTGTTTTCAGACTGTGGCAATGGCTGTATTTGGAACTTGTCTGGTTGTTCTTGCTTCACTATCAGGTTCTTCCGTAGCTGTTCAACTACCCTTTTCTACCCCATGGAGACAAAAAGAAAGACCATGTATCAGAGTATTGTCCTGTCAGCTCTGTGACGTGTGCAGCTACACACCTCTGACATTGTTCTGTGACCAGCTTCACCTAAAACTTGTGACATCTAAAATTTACAGATGCGACACAGGAGGAGAAACCAACAGCGTAGGAAACATTTTATAGCTCAAGGGAGACGGAGCCACACAGAGGACAAGAGAAGATAATGGACTTCACACAGCAGAGCTCACATTTCTTGACCATCATTAGCCTGGTGTGCTCGGCTGGAAGGGCAATATCGTGTGGCCACTAACACCAGACTCTGGAGACACAGACTTCCGTTTTGCTATTTACCAGCTCTCTGATGTTCATCAAGCTACTTAACCTATCTGTGTCTCGATTTCCTGTTCTGTAAAATGAGGTGATTAACAATATCCTTGGAGTTCTTATGAGGACCCTACAGGCTGCTGGATGTAAAGTACTCACAACTGTGACGGGCACATTGCTGGTGGTTTTACTTTTAGTATCTGGTAACATGGACATCGGCCATACTAATTTTTTTTTTTTTTAAAGATTTTATTTATTTATTTGCCAGAGACAGAGGGAGAGAGAGTGAGCAAGCACAGGCAGACAGAGAGGCAGGCAGAGGCAGAGGGAGAAGCAGGCTCCCCGCCAAGCAAGGAGCCCGATGTGGGACTCGATCCCAGGACGCTGGGATCATGACCTGAGCCGAAGGCAGCCGCTCAACCAACTGAGCCACCCAGGCGTCCCAATACTAATTTTTGTTATTCAAACAAACATCACGTATCGGTTTCAAACATTAAACAGACTCTTAAACAGAGAAACCCTGATCTCAGAAATATGCCATACAAAGAATTCTCATTCTAAATGACTCAACTGTGAAACTCATGAGCAGAACCTCTTTGCTGGGATAGGATCTGCAGAAATGTGTACATTTGTTTAGGCAAAGGAGGGATTTAGTTACATGGGATAAAAATTTAAAAACTGAAGTTTCTGGAATTTTGTACATCTTATCCAAATCCAAGAAAAATATGCATTTGGATACTTTCATTACTATATTTCAAAAGAACATAATAAGCTCCATGAGGGCAAGGACCTATTTTGTCCACGATTACACTCGGGGCTAGAACTATGTAGCTTAGTAAATGTCTCCTCACAGGATGTGTAAAGTGATGGGAACCGGAGACCAGCAAATGACTCAGGGAACGTGTCCTATAAAACAACTGGAGACCAGACTGGGGCTGCCTCTCTGGGCCTAATGGCTGGAAGCAAGTGTAAGCAGCACTCTTCATATACTTTCAACTGAGCTCACCAGCTGAGGTTTGTTATTTCTGATAAAATAGACTGTCATTTTCTAATACAGATCACGAATGAAGAAAAATAAGTAAATGAAGATCTTTAAATAAAGGGTTAAGTGACACCATATGGCCAGGCTGACTTCAAATTCCCCTTACGATGCTAACCAACTTCATTGCACATATCCTCTAAAGAACCCAAACTTATAAGGTTACTTGCTTAACATATTTGAGCATTAAAATATTTATAAAATGGATTTTTAAGAACTTTTAAGTCAATACAAAATATATTATTGAGAGAATTTTTTTGTATTTTTATTGATTCTTTTTAGGCAATGAAAATATCATATAAAGGCCAATATGGGGGGGTTCTGCTAAACTTTATATTCTGTCTTCACTGCCTCTTTGAGTAGTTAAATTTCACAAAGAAAAGAAAAAAGGATGCAGAGTCCAAAGTCTCTGCAGAAACCATCTGTAGAATAATAAAAATGCAAATTAATAAAAATATCAAATTCTTATAAAAAATTAACTTAAGTCTTAAAGTCCTATTTCTCAAGTATAAAAAGATAGAGTAATTGAATTGATACAGTTTAGGAGAAGGGCAAGAAGTGGCAGTGGTGCTACAGATAATTTTGAGTATCACAGATAGATTTTATTGCGTGGTGACTTCCAGAACATTAAGACATTTAACAATTAACTCATTACTTTAAAATCATTGCTTTCAGTCCCCCTCAACATAAAACCAGCACTAAACAAACATAGTAACGACTAGCTGAAGTGTAGCATCAGTACACCACAAAAGGGACGCCAAGAACCTCTACAAAAAACCCCAGCTCAAATCGAGGGGAGGAGAGAAACCATGAGGAAATAATAGAACACGAATGTGACACCTGCCAAAAAATAAACTTTGAACAAAAAACAGCACAGGAAATGAAATAATTATCCTACCAGGCACAAAAGGAAAAGATATTTTTCCCCTCTACAACCATCCCTGGGAAATACAGCGCGCTCTCCTACTTAACTGCCTAACTGGGGTAAACTCCAAGCAAGAGACAAAGCCCAGAACCCACTCCCAGCGTCGTGTACAACAGAAGGGAACAGTAGGGGAAAGAACGAGGAAGGGATGCAGGCTAGAGTACTCTGCAGCCATCTGGCCAGAACGAGGTGACGACCAATCAGAGCCAGAATCAGCAAAGTGGGAGTCAGTGAGTCACACTGCATTCACAACTGTTCCTTCCCCAGGGCCTGAAACAAAGCCTGTGGAACCCATGGGGAGGCACAGGGATCAAAATACTTGCAAACTTACATTAGTCTTTGAGGGAAGGAAAAAGAAGGGGGGAAGAGAAGAAAGCTGTGCAGATGGGACACGGGTCAGATCATATGAGCCGGGTACAATTTTCTTTGAAAGAAGGCTCTGGTATGTTTTGGAGTGCAGCTGGGAAAAGCATTGCCCCTGCCCTCCTTTCTCTGCTCCCATTAGAAGAACGCCAAGCTTGCGGTTGTGCATGTCTATATAAATTTTTTTAAAAAATGAAGGTCTGAGGGAAGCACTGACGCCTCCTGCCACTTAAATTTATCACTGCGTCTTGAAAACCGACGACCTGAAGTTAGGCGAGGTCTGAGGCAGAGGCATGCCTTAGGCGGCAGGCTGGTAAGGGAGGTGCCCTATGCTTTAGTCGGCTTTCCTAAGTTCCACAACCCAGCCTTGTTCTAGAGCTTAGTCCTGCAGCTCCGGCAAACACACCAGTCACTTTAACTCCAGCAAGAACCTGATCTGGATCAGTACCAGTTATGGGCAGAAGAGACTACAGCTATCAAATTTCATAAATTTTAGCTATGTGCTATCAAGTAAAGTTCTTAAGGATCCTCTCACTTCCACAGGAAGTGAGCCTATACTTTTATTATTACGTGTTTTAAACAAAGAAATCATGACTTCTGCTGGTCATTAATGAAGGTTATACAAAGTAAACAATTTGGCATTTTCAATGTTATTCACATATAAAGGAGACCTTGAAATGTAGCTAATTATCTTGGAACATTAACCTGAAGCTTTGAGAAAAGGGCTAAGTGTCACAAACTGGCCATTTGTCACTGACTAATAAGTTAATGAAAGTTAAAAAGAAAAGGGGGTGGGGAAAGAAGGACATGAGAAAGGAAAAGCTGTAAAGGATGAAGGCAGGAGGGAGGGAGAAAAAGCCAGTAATGTATCACCTTCTTTCCTTAATATATTTCCTATAAGAATAGGCCAATGGGTCTGGTGTCCAGAATGGCTAGCTAGTACTGCCCCCTCCAATCAATCCATCTGTCAAGAACCGCTCCATAAACCTCACGTAATTCCAAGCCTCGGAGCCCCTTGACATTCCCATCACTAGGTTTTATCAGGGCTTCTCCAGGCAGAAGAGTTCACAGGCCTGTAACACCTCAAGTCACAGTTTCTGAGACAGGTAGTCACGGTGATCAATATTGTGATATTCAGCGATACTATCAACGTGTTCACACGACAGCAAGACAGATCCCAAAGAAAATACAGAAGTTTATAGGTATGACTCAACAGAAAATCGGGTTCATTCTTCAGTTATGTAAGTCGATCACTCCAAGTTCCATGCCACTGGTCAATACAGAAGGGAGATGGAGAGATGGCAGGACGCCCCCCCTCCCCCAATCAAGCCCCCACTTTATTTCCAGCAAATTCTCAAGAAGCTTTTAAAAATCTTCTCTCAGGGGCTCCTGGGTGACTCAGTCGGTTAAGCGTCTGCCTTCAGCTCAGGTCATGATCCCAAGGTCCTGGGATCAAGTCCCACATCTGGCTCCCTGCTCAGCAAGGAACCTCCTTGTCCCTCCCCCTCTGCCTGCCACTCCCCCTGTGTGTGCGCTCACTTGCTCTCCCTCGGTCAAATAAATAAACAAAATCTTTAAAAAAAAATCTCTCAAAAGGAGCTCCAGATACCAGGCCCTACCCTCCATACCTACATGTCAGCGATCCAGTCCGTTGCTCCACTTATTTGTGTTACATTCTACATTACCTGTTTTATACCAATTATGATAGGGCAATACCCACACAGACATCTTCTTACACAGTACTGCCTTAAAAATTCATCCTTTGTCCCCTCCATCAATCAATCATGCAATCTGAAAATAGAACCCACACCCTTCATGCCAGAGACCGAAAAAGACTTGTAACTTTTCACAAATCCAGAAAGTCAAGAACAAGTCTTACCTACCTTCCTATGTAAAACGCAGTGAAAAATTTTTCCAGGTCTTCAGACTCACCAATTGCTCAAATGAAACCAGCGATACTAAATTTTGGTGTGCAGAGAAACTAACATGGAGAAACTTACATTTGTTGAAGTCAAAATTTACTCAGAGATGGAAAAAAAAAAACCTTTCTACTATCCGACTGAAGTTCAACCACTGCATTTATAAGCAATACCAATATTCTTCAACACTGAAGACACAGGAAGGAGATAAGGTAACAGTCTTCAGAATGCTACTACATAATTATCCTCTAAAGAATAGGGTATATGTTACTGTCATAAAATTAGTCACAAAATTAAATCCTGGGGGGAGGCACTTAGGTGGCTCAGTGGGTTAAAGCCTCTGCCTTTGGCTCAGGTCATGATCCCAGGGTCCTGGGATCGAGCCCCGCATCAGGCTCTCTGCTCAGCAGGGAGCCTGCTGCCTCCTCTCT